AGACTGTTAAAACAATTAATATTCATATTAACAAACTTTAACACGGGTACATTATTGAATGGTAATCAGAGAAAGATAGAAAATTAAATAGTTGACTTTATTAGGCAAAATTTAGAGAAAGCATCTCTTCATATTTTGGTGACCAACACACTTGATTAACAGTATATGATTTAAGTGCCATTAACATTTCATACAAAGGAATTAGTTTCTTTTTTAATAAAAATTAAATTGGTTAAGACTAATATAAAATAAATTAAATATTTATTTTAAATTTTGAATTTGATAATAACTCTATGAGTAAGAAATATGAATGCTTTTATTTAAGAAACATGTGCAAATAGTTTTTGACCAACGAATTAGTATGGAGTCAAAATGCAAACTCTGTCATGATGCAATTACAACAAGTACATGGCTTAAGAAGAAGACCTTTAGCAGCTAAAGTCATCCCAAACTGACTTGAGGACTATATGCATACGTCTAATAATTATAAATACATATTAACATAATTGAATGGTAAACAAAAATATTGCCGATATATCATTTTATGTGAAAGTCCTTCCCTTCTGATTACAGGTCTGTATTTTAAATAATTTTTTAAAACAAATAAACTAATATAACTAAAAAGTAAAATATGTATATAAATTAAAATTGAATTACTTACAAAAAAAAATTAATTTTAGCTAAGTGAAACTACTTATTTGTTTATATATTATTATAAACTATTATATTTCCTAATAGACTGTTAGAAAAAGTCAAGCTAAACTAACGAAGCTTAGCTAATATTAGCTAACAAACGCATGCTATTATAACTTGAGTTCAATTTAAACTTATCTGCTCGCTTTATTTAGATATAATTAAAAACCAAATTTTACTTTGTCACTCTAACCCGGAGATATTGCCAATATCTTCAGCAACTAAAATGTATTTATTTATCTAATAACTAATTTTATAATTATGATTAGAAAGATTGAAAAGTTTTTAATAGAATTGTAATGCTTTATACAAAAAGTTAAACATTTTTCCATTGCAAGCTGGGATACATTAATTAGTCGAAAACTTATGCTCTGGCTTACTACATAAACTATAGATCACATCAAAATTGTTACTCTATATTTACTAATCTTACTAAATTAAACCAGAATTGCAGTACCTTATACGAGGTGTTAAATATTTTTACTCTAAAATATTAAATATTTTATAATTCATTTAAATATTAAATATGACATTTAAATATTAAATATTACATTTAAATATTAAATATGACATTTAAATACTAAATATTTTTTTGTATTCTAACTTATACAGTTCTCGTTTGAATACAAGACTGCCAGCTTACGAGAATTATGGATACTTTTACTTTACATGAAAACTTTTTCTTTACGTTTACTACTCTAGAAAGTGACTATGTCTAATTAAATCTAATAGTAAAAAAACTCTTATGATTGGCAGGTCACGTGGCTACAACATGAACTATTTCTCTATCTACAGTACTGCAGGTTACGAACTGATTGTACTACATAAGTTACTCAAACTTTTAAATACAGAATTATTTCTGTAGTTCCGAATACTAAATTCGGTATACAGATTGACTTTTGTAATATAATCAAAGATTTAGTAATACTAAAAAAAAGTTACAAGTCATTGATTTATCGAATCATATTCGTTTAAGTAATTATATATCAGCTCATACCTATTATTCCATTAGTGGGTCTATTTAATTAATTTTAACTTTATCATTCTAACCCGGCGTATTAGTGTAATTATAATTACATATGAAATTAACTTTATTTCATTATACTTTTTTGTTATATATGAAACTAATAATTCCTTTTTGTCTATGTGTTATATACATAAGAATCTAATGCATTTCATTTCAAATTCGAAATGTTTTGTTATTTTTACATAATATTAGCAACAATTTTTCAAACACTAAACAGAATATTTTTTATCACAATATTTAATAAAGTACATTTGTAAGTGTACTCTTACGACAAACACTTATTGCAGTAAGTATTTTAATTGAAGTATATTCTGCAAAAGCATTTGTCATGAACTGCCACTAGAATATAATTTTGAAATTTTACACATATCACATATATACAGACATAATTTGTTATTAAAAATCATAATACACATGAATATTAATTTTATATAATTTTTTTTTTTCGTTAAATATTTCATATAATCATTCATATTTTTTGAAATATGGCAGTATTTACAGGCGCCACACAGTGAATGTGATTTAGTAGTGAGGGAATTTACAGGACAACACATTGTTAGTAAACACAAAAGATAAATAAAAAATTTTACAACAAATTAAAAAAAAATAACTAAATATAGAAATAAATTAAAAATTAATTTTAGAAAATTTGGAAGTTAGTTTAAGAAATAAATTTTAAATAATTAAACAAAAAATTTGTGGAAAATCAGCCCCAAAGTATCAAAATACAAAATACTTCGTTTTAGCTTGAAAAAGAAACAAATTTAGATTTTTTTATTAATAAAAA